ATTGGAATGCATATATACGTGACTGCCTGATGGGTACATAGTTTCCTTTTGGGATGACGAAAATATTCTAGAACTAAATAGTGGTGATGGCTGTACAATATTGTGAATAAACTAAATGCCTCTGAATTGTACACTTTACAATGGTTAAAATGGTGAATTTTACGTTATGTATATTTAGCATATGTGTAAAATACACATAACATAAAATTTTACATGTAAAATTTATTTACACATATATTTGCCACTGATGTATGTGAGAATTGGGGGAAATGTAGAAATGAGAGACATAAAATGAGGAAGTTATAAATTCTAGAATAAAAGATTAAATGGCATTCCCCAAGATTCATTAATAAACTTGAAACAATTTTACAATAATATGTCATTCAATTATGGGATAACAACTAGTAGCACATTTTTGTTATCCCAGTTTGAAGAATTATGTAACTCCCAGCATCTTCAGCCCATATAAAAACCTACATTCTTTGGAAAATTGAGTAATTGATGCTAATGTACAATAAAAGAACTTTGTCAGAGTAGAAAAATTAATATTTGTCAAGATCTGTTAAAGTATACTTCATTTTCACAACTTCTTTGTTGTGTGTGAATGAAATGGGATATGATTGGGTTCAGAGAGCAGTGAAGAGCTGATTTCTAGTTTTATTCCACTGTGGTCTGAGAAGATACATGGTATAATTTCAATTTTTTTGAATTTTCTGGGACTCATTTTGTGGCCTAAGATATGATCAATCTTGGAAAATGTCCCTTGTGCTGATAAGGAAGAATGTATATTCAGTAGTTTTGAGGTAGAATGTTCTGTAGGTATCTGTTAGGTCCATTTGTTCTAGACCTAACAAGGTGTTCATGGAAGTTCCTTGTCACCCTATGAATACCTGACTTAAGAATGACTTGATTTGGCAAGAAAATCTAAAGTTGATCTTCCTTTGGCATTTTGCAAGCAAAATGCCTGGCTTTGGGAGGTCCATGTGGTAGTTCTATTGTAGAAAGGAATTCTCAGGATGCAGGTATAAGGAGAAACCCCCTGGCTGGTATGTGTGGCCTCTGACTTTTATGCTTTCCATCCCACTCTGCCTCCAGATACAGCACTTCCGGAGTTGATAGAAAGCCAGACTTTCATTTTGGTCAAGGAAAAGAAAAATTCATATTTTGTAGTAGGTTGTGGAATATCTTCAATACTCTAACAGCTCATTAAAGTTTTTACATAAATTTAAATCTTGTGCAACTCTTCTTACAGTGTGGCTAGGGTTTATGACATTTGTTTTAAAATCAAATGTTTAGAACTCATTCATTATTAAATAGGGATTTTTTGTTTTGTTTTGTTTTGAGACAAGGTCTCACTGTGTCACCTGGGCTAGAGTGCAGTGGCATCATCATAGCTCGCAGCAACCTCAAATACCTGGGCTCAAGTGATCCTTCTGCCTCAGCCTCCCGAGTAGTTGGGACTACAGGCACTTGCCACCATGCCCGGCTAATTTTTCTGTTTTTTGTAGAGACAGGGTCTTGCTCTTGCTCAGGCTGGTCTCGAACTCCTGGCTTCAAGCAATCCTCCCGCCTTGGCCTCCCAGAGTGCTATGATTACAGCCGGGTCTGTTTTGTTTTTAATCTTTGGTTCTTACTCTATCTTCAAGTGTTCTCTTTGCAGTGTTCTTATTTATCTTTTTAAAAGTATCAGAGTCCAGGGAGATTTCTGTTTCTTTTATTTTCTATTATGTGGTTACAATAGTTTCATAATTAATAATCAGATGAAATAATTTTT